TCAAGATCGTGCACCCGTAATATGCATTCACTTCATTTAGCCATCCATCTATCGAGGATCGAGGCGAGTAAATTTATAGGTGCATTTCGTTCACCCCAAGTAATTAAGGGGTTGTCTCGAACCTCCCCGTTTTCCTTGATAAATAGAATGATAAAAATCTAAATTGAATTTCTGCCAATTTTTTTTCTACTCCCGTGAAGAAATTATACGTCTCTCTCTCTCTCCTCCATTTTACCAGCTGCATGACATGATGAACCTTTTTTCACCCGCAACTTTTACACAAAAGTTACCGACCGACTGAAAAATTTAGATATCTGATAAATTCAATTTACATGGATTTTTATCCAATCTGTGTAAAAGTCGGGGTAATTACTGCTCATCATCATCGTGGACTGGTTTGCGATACTGCTTGGGAACGAATACTTGGGGGCCCTGGATCCCTACGTCAATCATTTTCATATCAACGTCAATCCTTCCTGTAAAGCAGTTCGTGTTAGTGTTTCAATTTCTCCGGCTTGAATTTCCCGTCCAGGCCACATCCACATATTAGTTTCTCCCACTACATACGAATACATGCCTTTGAACCATGTATGTCAGCAGTGGCTGCGGAAGCTGTGGGGACATCGGGGGACATTAACATTGTAGGATGGGGGGAGGGAGTGGTTTATACAACATGGGCAGATAATGGGGACACCGAATAACCCCGGGGACATTGTCCCTCTGTCCGCGGTTACTGCATGTCAGCCAACAAACCGCCTTCTGAAACATGGTTTCATTTCATTATATGCGTCCGCATCCTACAAAACACGGCCTAACTCAAGAACCGTCTTCAATTTCGTTCTCTTCTCTCTCGGCACAATTATCCTTCCCAATCTCCAAGAAAGGATCAAACTAGTTTTCTTTGATGTTGGGGATGAATGTTGGTTTGAGGAAATTAGTAGTTTCATCATCATCTCCCTCCAACTACTGCTCGGTCCGTCGAATGCCACAGAATTATTGTTTCAAGGATGGCTATGACTAATTTAAATTTTCAAATTAAACCAGAATTTTACTCCTTCTTTCTTCTTGTCTTGCGGAGGTGTGAGGTTCGTTGTAGGTTTGATGTTGATGTGGATAATGAACGATGTGGGTGAGTGACGTGCTGGTCAAAGTGGATGGAAGTGCAGCATGTTTTTTAAAGCCAAATTATATGGTAATTTCTTTCGAGATGTACAAATTGCTGCTGCTGTATAATTTATTAACGAGGTGAAGGTGACTTTCAACTATGTAATGATCTGATACTGATTTTATCTATTTACATACATTGATTGAGTTTCGCATCAAAATTTAGCGTGGCGAAAATTTGTGCAAGTTTTTATGAACTGCGTAACAAGAATTGTCCATACATACTTTGACAACCACCACGTACTTAATTTACCAACAGGAGACACAGCATCATCCATCAAGTTTAAAGCGTTTGACAGGTCCTCCTTTTCGTGTCCTGTGTGGAAGGAAAGTAGCAGACTCACTCTGCTACTCGCACCAATTATGTAAGAAATTCGACTGAAAATGGAAACGTCGAAGAACAATTTTTCTTTTTTCTCCACTCTACTCCAGAACTTGAACTGGAGTGGAACAAATTAATACATGGATGGAACATCTTGTTTGAAGAATTTCCTCTTTTTTGTTACCCCGTCACACTTTGATGATTTTGTGGAGGTTGGGGGAATTTTAGTCTGCATTTTGAATAAGTGTAATATCATCATGTGATCAATACTTACGTATTAATGCAACTTCTTATTAACTTTCTTAAATATGTGTTCAGTGTTTCGGGTGCAAGTAACCAATTGCAAGAAATAACGGCAAGAAAATGGTTTCTTGCAGTTATTTTGACCTGCAAGAAATGCAAGAAATTTCGCCCCAACGCTATACTTCATACGGCGCGTGGCTTGATGGCGCATATTTCTTGCACCTCCCATTTCTTGCTTTCCAGTACAAGAAATGTAGCAAATTCTGAAAAAACGAAACACTGCCCATAATAAATTGTTCCCCACAAAGCGAGATGACACCTCTCTCTCTCATGAAACACAATCTCGTCAACATTTTCTCCCCCATTACAACTTTTTACCCATGTACACACATACCTAATTTGTGCCCATGTTTATGTACAAATCCTGCCCCAATACGCACCCATTAAAGCCCAGAAGTCTCCTTAGAATTAAATATGAATATTATTTCCCATTTCAAAAAAGAGTGAGAGGCGGATGACCAGAGAGAGAACAAGATCATTAATTTCATTTCGGTCCGCTCCCACACCACACGGTCATCTCGCGTCAAATTCCTCACTTCAAAGGACACTGAGATAACATCGCGTCCATCCAGGCTGTCCATCCAGCCAGCCAGCAGAATCAAACCACCAAGAACATCAAACAAGTCTACATACATGCATTCATAATCTTTTGTCCTTTGAAGAACACGTAAACAAGGAGAGTTGAAATTCAAAGCAAATCAAAACTGGTCAGCGATGCCATTTGTCATTCATATGGCAGCGTCACAAGTTCCATGGGTTGGATATAAATCAAAACAATCCTCCTCCCGGGGAAAGTAAGGGAAGAATTATTTTTAAAAAACCTACTGTCCAGCCTTATGTATTTGGCCCGAGTCAGGTTGTTATCAATGATTGAAGTTGGTAATACCATCACAACTTTTTACAAAAATTTTTCCACAGATTTTGCTAATCTTACAATTTGATTCCTAATTTTGCATATTCTACGTGTGTGCAAAATTTCAAGTCGACTAGATAAATTTTACGAGCGTAATCGATAGTCAGACAGACAGACAGACAACCATGCTGGATACATAAGCTCATCTTCCAACTTGATTCGTAATTTTGCATTTTCTACGTGTGTGCAAAATGTCAAGTCGATTGGGTACTTTTTACCAGCGTAATCGACAGACAGACAACCATGACTGGTACATAAGCCCTGGGTCGGACTAAAAAATGCATTTTTTCAAAAAAGCTACACAACACTCAAGTGCTTTAATTCTCACTAATGACGAACAAGAGCCAGAGGCATCTACACACATTACATCTCGTATGTACACATGTATGCATCTGCCCATTTATCCATCTTTTTACAATTTCATGACACCATCACTGCTGGCTTGGCTGGCTGGCTGGCTGGTGACCCTGCTGCACAAGACAAGAGAGATGAATAGAAATGACTTCTGTGTATAAATTACGAACTGGACCCATCCATCCGACCAGGCAACAAAGAAAAACTAGACCAACCAGGAGGACAGAGAGACATGTCGGACATCTGTCCTCTCTCCTCTCCTATTAACATTTTATTCGGCCTATTATCAATTTAATCCTGTTTTATTACGATCCTCATTACATCCAGTTTTAAGCCTCGATTTACTACAGTGTAAAGTGATGCCTTATATTTTACTTCTTCGTCGTCGTCAGCTCGTAAATAAAAAGTGGATCCGCTTTTTACTATCGTGTTTGTTAAATTAAAGGCAGGGTTTACTATTATTACGCCCTTAGTGCGAGAGGTATTAGCACCCAATTGTGTGACGGGAAGAGAGCTGGTTAAATTCGTCATAACAAATGTACTAAAGTCGGTAGTTACAGAAATATGTGCACGCGGATGCTAAAAATGGAATGTGACTGGGCTCGTTTTTCCGATCTCATTCACGCAATAAGTTATTTAGATTGAGTATTTTAGTGAATTTTGAAAATTTGAATTATCTAAACCAAGTATTTTGGTGAATTTTGGAAGTTTGAATTATTCCGAGTGATTTTTTAGCGAATTTTGAAAATCTGAATTATTTAGATTGAGTATTTTAGTGAATTTTCAAAATTTGTTACATTTCTTCGTCGATGACGTAATTTTATAAAATATAAAAAATTCAAAATTCTTAAAGGTCTGTAAGAAACCTGGTTCATTTTCCAAATGTATAAAAATTTCGAAAATACATTTCTCCAAAATTGATTAATTCCTTCCCCCTCGAAAGTAATCATCAGTCTCACAGCAAGCCCCAAAAAAGGTTGTGTGTGCGACGTGATTAACGATAATACTGGGCATTTAAGCGTTTAAGCGACGCAGTCGAAAGCCAAGAGACCCTGCTGGTCACCAACCGAGCTACACGAGTGGACTCTTAAACTCTTCTCTGCTGGAAATTATTATGGCGTGTATGCACTGTTTACAATAGCAATCAAGGAATGAGACACCATGTACTTATCATGTAGGCTCCAAAACAATTGTAAATAAATACATATGTGTGAGCAAGCAAATAACAAATATGACAACATTCATACTTATGAAAAGATGTCCAAGATCAATCTTGTGACAACGAGCTTCCGACCAAAAAAACTTATCCAGATGCCATTTCGCGATACTCTTTCAAACTGCATTTTACCAAATTCAGCTCCCAGATATTAGATATTAGATATTTTATTCGAGAGATGAGTGAAGTGAGATTAGTGGAAAATACATACGCGACAAGAAACATTATACATGTCACATTTTTGCCACTTTTTTATTGCTTACGCTACACACTTTCTGCTGCTGCTGCTGCCAAGGAAGAAGCCGTGAAACAAAAGGATGACGACAACGACGGCACTATAACACTTTGACTTAATTCAATGGGATTTAAAACACCCTTTTTGGAAAATTCTTCAAACTTGTGCTATTATTATGGAGGGAAGAAAAGTGTCATTTCTTCCTCGAATCTTTGGGCTTAAGGGATGAATGAATAGTATGCTCTCCTCTCTCTCCTGATGTGATCTCACTTTTGTCTCTCCGTGAAAATGGGAAATTTATGCCAGATTTTAAGGAAAATATGATACGACTTCTCGTTCTCCCATATTTTACCACTATTTTCATCATTCTTCGTGCAGTTTACGGCCGTTTTTATGATGACAGGAGAAAAAGTCTCGGCGATATTTGGGACACCGACACGAAACCACAAATGCAGAAATATTCCGTCTTGTTTATGATATGATTCCGACTTACCACGACTTATCAAACTGCTCGCAGAAGCACCGGCAAAGTGGGCTCCGTCATGTTGGTAAGTGTGGGAATTGTAGTGGTTGTGGTGGCCTTGGTCGTTCTGATATTCGTCACCGGGATGTGTCGTCGATGGAGGTCCGGTCGTCGCGACGTGTTCGAAATGCACATCGACCGCTGGGTGTGACGCGGGTATCGAGTGGTTTGTCGCCGTCGTCGTCGTGGCGGCCAGTGCCACCTGTGCCGACGGACTTACGACGGGTATCGTACCTGCAAAAAAACAAGGTAAAGTAAATTATACATAAAATGCATAAAACATTTTTTTTCTTGTAATCCGAGCACAGATATTTTTCACCCGACGCATCACTAAGAAAATAGTATGGCATTTGTAATGACTTTCTTTTTACGTCGCTTCCCTCCCAGTTGGCCTGAATTTGACAGACAATCCCATTTTCTCATTCAAATTGTGATGCCATTCAGTAAATAAAAAACTGGGTCATCATTTCTCCAGATTTTAGGCCTCCAACCAAACAGCCATCTCTCTATTCCATATTTGCCTTCCTTTCATCCATACCATACTCTGACCTCCATTTATTCAAATACATATATTTTTTTTTATTCCGGCAGAGACTCTCCCATTTCTTTCTTTCTTTGGTTGGTGTGGTGTCTGATCTCGCAGAGTTAATCAGGTTATCAGAACCACTGATCGAATTTGAAATTTGAATAGAAGACGAGCAGGGAGGAGGAGGAGAGGAGGACACATCAGACGAATTTATTTCTGACTGTGGAATCCCTCTCTCTCTCTCCCCACGTGTTTTATTCACTCCGTGTCATGATAAGTCAAATGTTATTAGTTGCTTTGCTAACCAAGGAGAGGGTTGGATGGATCTCGTCTCTGAGTGGAATTCCAAAAAAGCTCTGTGTACAATCTCTCCGCATTCAAATAGCATAACCAATTTAGTCAGCATGCCTTATTTTAATTTAAGGAAAAAAAACTCAACGTATTGACTCGAGATGAACCTCATTACGTGCGTTAGAATCCTGGCAATAATGAAATTGAGTGATGGTTTGTATTTACGGGCGACTGACCGACACAGCAGTACAAATGTATCCTCCTGTTTAGCAGAGATACGTATTTACTGTACATCCCTGGTAGTTATTTGTGTAATAATAATGAATAAATATGACTGACTGACTTTGTCGAGTGGTGCATGATGCGTCATGGATGGCACGGCATTTCAAGGGGTGAACCCTTCCCGACATACTTATTTAATGAAAAGTCATTGAGTTGAGGTGAAGTGAACTGCATGCGACTAACTCGAGTTGTTTCTGGATAACACTTGAACATTATTTACGTTTCAAGAGGGGATCAGATCAACAAGGTTGTTAAAATACGTTTTTGGACAAAAATATTACGAAATTTGCGATATTTCAACGTCCTAAAAGTTTTACCTGTGTTACAAAAATTATTTTAGTTATTGATCAGATAGAAAACATGGACCTCTTTAAAGCAATTCGAACACTTGAATAACATGATATCCACAAGAAAGATGTTGATCAATGCGAACATGACCCAAACTAAAAAAAACTGGAACGGAACCACACACTCATCTCGAGCATAATGTTCCCATCCTGACAATGAACGTATACACGTCAGTAAGGAATCCCTTTCACTGGAATTGAAAAAAGGTACTCGAGATAAATAATGAATTTAGTCCGAGAGATGGATCGAGGGATAATTGCCTGACTTTGCTTGACATGACAGCCTCATCATAATGCACTACGAACTAATAATAGTGAATCAACCATGCCTTCATTTTATTCAATTCAGTGGTCACCGATCCTGATTCCTGTCACATTATGAGCTATGAAAGAGGGACTTTCGGTGGACTGCCTTCTCAACAACAATGTATTTAAAACGCAACAAAGCTCACGTAATTTCGTACGGCACGACTTTTTTAATTGACGACGGAAGAAAGACCTCGATTCAATCTAATATGCATTAAGGTGCACATTTTGATCGTCTGTGAGACAAAAACAGAATATGTATGCAGCTCATCAAAGAGGTAAACTTGAGCTTCAAAGGGAGCGTGTTTATGCGTTACACAATTCTTATATAGCTCATATTTAGGCACTAAAATGTATATAGAGTGGATTGAAGTGGGTGCTTTATTTTTAGTTTATTATTACTTGCACCAAAGGTAAATTTCACTTGCACCACGAGATTACTCAACAGAAGAAGAAGAACAAAGCCCATTTTACACAGAGGAAAACATCTGAAGCCAATTTCTTCTCGTTTCCAAAATCCGTATGGTGCCCTCCTCAACCGAACAATATTATTATTTCCCTCTTACTCTACTTACTTATTTATGTACAATGTATAAAGAAGAAAACGCAGCGCCAGTTGTTTAGTTTGGATGCAGAAAGCTCGAAATGTTTGAACAAAGTAAGTAAGTAAAATGCACGTATAAAAGCCTCAATAAAACTCCCCTCGTTCATTTCTTCGTCTCCCTAAATTATCCACCTAGCCCCACAAGCAATGAGGACGACACACACTACACTGTCTTCTCATCCCCCACCCGACAAGGGGAGTGTCAGCCGTATGTATGTATCTATGTGGCTGCGAAGGAAGGAAGCATCGCATCACGTTAAATTAATTAGGAAAATCGACAACAGGGAAAATACAGGTAGGCAGAAAGATACCTAGAATGGCGTGTCTTCTCCAATAATAATACGGGTACGTGGTCCTGGTGTCCAGTGACGGCGGAACAGAGGACCAATGTCCCCACGGGTATTCGATGTCCCCATCATCCGCCCATGTTACATAAACCCCTCCCTCCCCACATCCTACAATGTCCCCACATGTCCCCACAGCTTCCGCGGCCGATTTGCCGGTGTCATGGATTAATTCAACAAAATTCTAATTTTCCTCGACGTAAAAGGTTCATCCAGACCGTGTCAGAATTAGAATTCTGATCAAAATTCCATCTTTTTGTGAGAAAGAAAGAGTTAAATTTAGCCAGACCCGTGTCTCTTTCTCTCCTGAGTTGCATATTGTAATCCCCGAGTCATTGTTTCTCTTCTCCTCTTCCCGATGGATTCGGATTGAGAGGAAGTGTGACGGGAAGAGGAGATCTGAATATTAATGAACATTCCATCCATGCACTTCTTCTTTCTTCCCGACCATGATTGCGATTACTTTACTGCGCCCACTAACAAGGAGAGAGTCATGGTGGCTGGCTGGTAGAAAGTGCGTACGGAAAGTGTGTAGTAGAAATGTTGGTTGTAATTTAATGTGAAATGTAACATGACACGAGAAGAGGAAAATGATATTCTCAATCCAAGATCTCTCTTTCTCTCTCTGGTCTAATCAAGATAAGAGATTATGATATGATTTACATGCACTTTAAAGATTAAGTACCGCTGCTGGTTGTAATTCCCAGAAGGAAATTTGATGCTTTTCCTTCTTCTTCTTCTTTTTCCCCGGCTTTTGTTTGCGTCGACTTAAAATTCTACTTTTTTTAGACAAGTGAAATGACAGTTCAGGTTGGTTGTTGTGTTGTTTCAGAAATATTTTATCCGGAGAAAAATAAAATATGGAATCCAGTCCAGAGCAGAGGAGGAGATTTACTGTTGTGAAATATGGTATTTACATATTTCCACTGCTAAAAATCTGGTAGAGTCAGATGTACTGGTATTGATTTGGTAATAATTTCCTACCGAATTGGTAGTAGTTTGTTTCTGAATGGTAAATTTTTCATTACTACAACACTACTAAACGGTAATACCCGTTGTTACCCGTTCCGATATAAATGTACTCCGGTCAGTCGCGATTTAATACCAGTTTTCTAAGAGTGCACATACCCTGAAATATGGTACATATTTATTCATGTACATCTCAAATGATGCCAAAATCGCAAATTTGTTCTACTTTCTACTATCTTCTCGTCCTGCGATGAATCAACACACGTCGACCAACCACTTGACATCATTCAACAAGGCACCTACCTCTTTAAAAATTCAGAATTCATCTAACGAACCCAATCACGGGGAAAAATCCCGGAAGCGAAATGTTCAAGAGCTGGCGATGCTCGAGAGAGGTGAATGATCATTGAACATTTCCTTTCACTTCTTCCTTCCTCCCATGGAATTAAATCTTGCTGAATAGACTTTTATTGCAGTAGAAAAGCATCATCGTATCATAGATGCGTTCGTCTTCTTCCCATTTTCCCCCGACCGTACAATACTTTTTGAAGAGATTCCAGATAAATTTCCAAATACAATGCAATATTTCTTCTCCCTTCTCATCTTCACGAGTGAGAGTGAGAGTGGTGCATGGCTATTGTTGTGCAGTTCAACCTCCAATACATAGATATTTGCTTGGATGGTATACATTATGTGGAAGAGGAGCAAAGTTGAAGTGCACGAGGGTTGATAAGGAGAAGAAGAAGAATTCAGAAAATAATATCTAACCACTGATCAAAGCCTGGGGGGCTGGTGCAGTCAATCCTCAACTCATCTCTCGTTACGTTGCTTCTCTCTGCCTGTCCAGATTCCCGATCGCGATGCCACCGCCGATATTACCAATAATAGAATAGTGTATGACTCTTTTCAAGTCGAATGAATTCTTGATGATCAGAATCTCCTCGCACTAAAGTTAGTTTCGAACTGATTCATGATCTGATGGACGCGTTGGTCCAAGCTGGCCGGGTCGGATTATGTAAATATATTTTTAGGAGACTATTTCGTAATATGGCTTCATTTAAGAGGTGTGTATCCAGCTAGGGGATGTCGGAAAACGTACTCGGAAATCACCACCACAAGAGACGACATATATTAACAGTGGACGCGGAAGCGTGGGGACAGAGGGACAATGTCCCCATCATCTGCCCATATTATATAAACCCCTCCCTCTACTATCCTACAATGTCCGTGTCCCCACATGTCCCCACAGCTTCCGCGGCCGCTGCATATTAAGCTGGACGGACGACGATATTGTCAAAAGGAAGACCCCACTTATTTAATAATGTGCTTAAATAAGTATGTATGCTGTGCATGTGTACGTAAAGGCCTATGTAGTTGTTGGTATATAACTACGAATATCATCTCATCATTGGATTTCACTTCACAACTTTACTTTCAACCAAGCAACCCTTTCTTATTTGCTTTGCTTACACATAACACAAATAAAGAAGATTATTTACCTTTCCCCCCACTTCACCCAGCCTGTGAAGACTTTACATGACTTTATTGGCCTGACTAACCCTCAA